GTGTAAGACCATTATGACTGCGAATATGCGTGTGCGCATGCACATTTAATGTATAACGAACGGTTAAGCTAAAATTATCTAATTAATTATTTCAGTTGCAGATTGCGTTGTTCCTTAATCTTCGAATTGGATCCGGCTTATTATTTTTCGCAGACTGTTAGAGCAATTTTATAAAAGTACGCTTGAACTTTCGATTATGTCAAATAGAATTTCCGATATATATTTACTAATATGTAAAGGATCTACAAAGTGAAAGTATGTTTCGAAGTCCATTAAACAAAAAGTGGAATAGCTGAAAAAAATGGATAAAGGCATATCCTTCGTTTCTCTAACCATTCCGAAATCTGTTTATCAATTCCATGCTGCTCTGCGGTGGAATGCAATGAACTGGAAGTTGATCTGTCAGCACTATCCTTATCTTTAGGGCAGATGTCTTTATTTTATTCAGCTTATAATTCCTTACTAAATGTAGTATTTCATCTCGATGTACTCCGTCTTTGACATCATTTAAATCAAATTCCTCGTCATTATAAATATCACGAATACACATCAAATAGTTTTCTGCTTGCAATTTTCGGTACAACTCTGATATACACCCTAATTTTACCAAATGTGGCAATATATGTTCTGTGCTGGTTTTTGCCGAGATTGCATGTTCTATGGCAACCCTGTTGACGAACAATCTGTTGCTGGAGCTCGTTGATTCGCGTCTGTGTCTGAGAAAATGGGAAGGAAAGATAAAATGGTAGATGTTGTTGAATTGAAGTTCAGCAAAAGGAAATATCATTGTGGCCATCCTGTTGAGGGGTATTGGGTATTTGGAGGTGTGGAAAGAGGGTCTAGGAGATTATATTTAATGGCTGTGCACGATAGAAGTAGGGATTTGTCATTTTATTTATTTGTGAACCATAGTATGAATTTTCTGGAGTGTGTCTGGCTGTCATGTAAATACGATAGTGATTACGTGGCGGCATGTTAAAGGCAGTATGAAATTGATATTTCTGCTGCTCGAAAAAGCATTAATTCATGGTAAGTGCATTTTATTTTATTCTTGTTCTTATTTTGTAGAATGTTATGTTCATTGGTTCTTTAGTATGAATTTCTGTCGTTATTGTCATTTTTGAAACAGAACGCTGTGTACATGGTATTATTTGAAATTTATTTTATTATGTTATTTTATTAAAGCGAGGTGTGCGTAGATCGTAGATTCGTTCCTTGCCTAAATTGTGCAATTCGTAGATGTTTTTTTAAGTTTAAACAGGATGCTGTGTTCATGGTATTCTTTGAAATTTATTGTTGTTATGTTGATTTATTAATGCGAGGTGTGCGTAGTTTGTAGATTTTTTCGTTGCCTAAATTGTGCAATTCGTAGATGTTTTTTTAAGTTTAAACAGGATGCTGTGTACATGGTATTCTTTGAAATTTATTGCTGATATGTTAATTTATTAAAGCGAGGTGTGCGTAGTTCGTACATTCGTTTGTTGCCTAAATTGTGCCATTCGTAGATTTTTTTTTAAAGTTAAAACACGTCGCTGTGTACATGGATTCTTGTCAAATATTTTTGGTTAGAAACTTTATGTTTTTGCTACCTAAATTTTTTGTCTTTGTTTCGGATTTTTAGCTTAAATCGTGTGTTCAAAACGTAGTTTTTGCATGTGCGAAAACCACGTTTTTGGAGACATTTTAGGCTTAAAGTTTGAAATATAGACAAAAAATTTAGATAGTAATATGGCAGCGTGAAGTTGTTCGGCAAGAAATTTGGCGACTTGAGGGCGCATATCAGTGTAGTTCCCAATTTTGTAATTTCAACTGTGCGTAATGTATGCTTTACGCATGCGCGCGTTGAAAGAAATGTTTAATAAAGTAAACAAATAAATCTTAAGTTTTTTTTTTGTAAATTTTGAAACCTTATAGATCATAATTGCTCTTTATTTCATAAATTACGGTTTCATATTTTTAATTTTATAATTTCTGCATGCCATCTTACCAGATTTAAACTGATGATCTATAATCCGGAAAAATCGATAATCCGGAATCGCCGAAGTCCCAACGAGTCCGGATTAACGACTTTTGACTGTACCGGTCTTCATGACGGATCTAAAAATCCTGCACTGCTCAGAGTGTTAAATTCAATAATACCAATAATGAATTGATATTTTTCATGGTTTTTCAAATACTGGCTGTCAGAAACCTTTTATTATAGGTCAGTTTACTTTGCCCTTTCAAACTAGAGCTACTAATTTTAGTTGAAAGCATCGCATTTTTCTCTTCTTCCCTTTTACTCTGGCTAATTACAGGGAATTATTTAATTTAAAATTTTTCTTTATTTCTTTTTAGTTTGCTAATAAATTTACGAGCTTTTAAAAAAAGTTTTTTTTAGAAAAGCTATACACATATTCTAAACATAAAAATTTCGGCTGATCTTTGGAATATGGTAACAGGTAGTTTGGCGACATTTTGGAGGCGATAAAGGTTACTACCTAGGACTTTGGTAATAATGTGAGCAGTACTCAGTTCCGATTACGCATTATTTTGTGTGAGGGAAATGAGAGATCATGTGATATGTCATGTGATATTAATGGACGAATTACGGTTCTTTAATCGGAAAAGGGGGGAAATTGGGAAAAAATCTCGAAATTTTGTATTTGCCTTTATTCTGTGTTGTGTGAAACAGTGTTCGTTAACTTTTTAAACCCATGGCCCTAACTAAAGTGAATTCGAAATGCGTATTTAGTGGGATTGAAAGGGGTAATAAGTGTTTCTTTAAGGTTGTGCGAGATAGAAGTAAAGATGTTTTATTAAGTTATTTATTTTACCTGGTACCTTGGTGTGAACTATAAGTATGATTTTAAAGATCCTGAAACAGAAATAAGAAAAGTTTATCGGACACGTAATCAAGATTCTGAAGAAGATTAGGTAAGTTAGTATTTTTAATTATTTGAGGATATTATTTTTATGCATTGTTCTAATGTAAGGTGGAAGTAAGTAATTTGGTATTATTGGGAAAATTGTTATTAGCAATGATTTAGTTTAAAGTAATTAGGATTGTAAGCTAATTTTTATAATTTAATGTATGTGCTTATTATATTTAAGAAGTGTTTTAATTTAATATATTTTATTTTAATGGATCGTGATTTTGTGAGTTATATGTTTGTAGTGTTGGAATACATTTGAGTAGTATACGTTGAGTATTTTCATGCATTTCGTGAAATTTTTCCAATTTATGAGAAAAAAGCAGTGTGTACATGGATATAGTGAAGAGTGTGCGCAATGCCATTTTTGTGCAATTCTGGGATGTTTTTTCAAGTAAAAATAAGTCGACGTGTACATGGTTTAGTGATATTTTAATTAAATTATAGTTATTTTGTGAATTTTATGTTTGTAGCAATTTGGCATACGTTTCAGTTGAAGTAAACGTGCATGGAAATAATTTAAATATTTGACACTAAGTATTTGTAACCATTTTTAATTTTTGCGGTAGAAATTCGTTGGTGACGTTTATAATATAATAGATAATTTAGAGGTAAAAGTTTTTGGATATTTTATTTATTTTATACGTGGAAATGTTCATCCTTGGAAAGGGTATATACTTTTCCGCGATCAAGTAATTTCATATATGCTCTTTTTACCGGATTTAAAGATTCACAAAATTTTCATGCGTTTTCGTGAAATTTTTCTAATTTATGACAAAAAAGCAGTGTACATGGATATAGTGAAGAGTGTGCACAATGCCATTTTTGTGCAATTCTGGGATGTTTTTTTAAGTAAAAATAAGTTGACGTGTACATGGTTTAGTGATATTTTAATTAAATGATAGTTATTTTGTGAATTTTATGTTTATAGCAATTTGGTATACATTTCAGTTGAAGTAAAAGTGCATGGAAATAATTTAAATATTTGACACTAAGTATTTGTAACCATTTTTAATGTTTGCAATAGAAATTCATAGGTGACGTTTATAATATAATAGATAATTTAGAGGTAAAAGTTTTTGGGTATTTTATTTATTTTATACGTGGAAATGTTCATCCTTGGAAAGGGTATATACTTTTTCGCGATCAGGTAATTTCATATATGTGGAAAATCATCAACGTCCAATGCTGAATTATAATTGCCAGCAATGACGTCATCAGCATCGCTCAGCGAGAATCATCCCAGACAGCGGGAGATAGCGTGCAGACCTGGTCGAGAGCGGAAGGTGGACGTGAGTAGACGGCTCACTCGTCTTCAAGAGTTTATGAATTTAGATTCTGCTTTGATGTTTCGCCTTAGCTGTGATGACTTTAGATGATCATACTATTTAAAACTAGATGGGAACTATGTCGGAGGAACTCTGTGTAAAGGACTGTCTGTACATCATTATATTAATCCTGCATACCGTTAACTTCATCTTTACTTAATTTATCTCAATTATTTTTATTTCTTCTATTAAAATAAAGCATATTTAAAATATTACGTGCTCTCATGCTCCGAGTTAAAGGAGAGTGCTTTTTACCGAGTTTAAAGATTCAGAAAATTTTCGTGCAAATTTTTTTAATTTATGAGAAAATAGCAGTGTAGATGGATAAAGTTAAGAGTGTGTGCAATGCCATTTTTGTGCAATTCTGGGATTTTTTTTAAGTAAAAATAAGTCGACGTGTAAATGGTTTATGTGTATGTGCTATTCTGAAAAATGCGCAAGGAGTTTGCGATTGTGCACTTTTTCCCAATTTGTCATGATTAAGCAGTTTTGTTACATAAAATTTCTAGCATAAGTGTAATTCGGCTAGTAGATTGTTGGAAAAAGTGTTGAGTAAATAAAAAGAAAAGAAACGTCTTTACTTCGTGAAGACAAAATGGCGGTGAAAAAAAAATTAGAGGGTTGCTGTAGCAGAGTTGGTTGCCAAATTTTCGCCAAAAAATTGCCAAGTTACCATAATCCAAAGATCAACCAAAATTTCAATTAGAAATAATTAAATTTATACAAAATACAAATAAAAGATAAAAAAAATAAACTATACCTCTCATGTTTCCTATTCGACTGATAGTCCTCTGTCTTCCTTCAATATATTTATCGAGACCCAGAAACTGTTCATTATATAAGAATCGCACACCTATCAGTATTGAAACATTGAAATATATATTAATAAGAAAAGCAAAGTTTTATTAAATTGAAAAATACATGTTTTCAAATACAAAAATTTACTGTGCCTACAATAAATATCACAACACACCATAAAATTTGCAACAGATGCTAGCTTTCCAACTACTCAATAGTTTGTTTCCGAAAATCAAAATTTTCATACTGCTCATGATAAAATATTTTCTTAATTATAGTTCCAAATATTCTACCTTATGACAGGATATTTTTATTTGCATTATGCTGTATCAACGGTAAATTTACAGTTCAAGATACATATATAAGGAATACATCATGCTGGGCATTCAGCCAGTTCATTTGTTGCATAATTTCTGATTATTTGTTCAACCCTGAAAAGAATTCACCAGGCAACACACTACATCACCAAAACAAACTCATAAAATCAGCAAAATGCATTTACATGGCAATATAGGTATGTATGTGTAGGCAGTAGATAAACAATATTTTCAAGATTCAAATTCAATTGTCATTACTTTTTGTTTTAACTGCACTGAGTGCATCATTTTTCTTCTAAGGAAATGTTATCAGACTATGAAATTTGTGAACTGATGAAAAAGAAAGTTTTGCATTTCTTCCAAAATATGGCATTTTGCTCAACAGTTAGAGAATGGAAGAATTTGCATTCTAAGTTGGTTGCACTTAGCAAACAATCGAATTTTACGCATCAAAATTTGAGCATTCCAACTGCATACAACTAGAATCCACCAGTGATAGTGCAGGATCTTAGTAATCCGGTGAGAGCCTCCATCTTAAAATGACCCCCTCACTTATTTCTCTCTCACACACACACACACAATCACAGTTTGTGCTTTTGATAGTGGTTCAAAACTCACCACACCCTCCATGCCATCGGCGCTGTGAAGTGAGCCTTACTGCGTATTAACATGCTTTAACGCGTTGGACGCACATGCATAAAATCAAGGACTAAAGTGCAGAATCGCCCACTTATTTGTTTGGTACTTTTTACAAGAGTAAAATGAATTGGATTTTTGTCAATTTTCTTTGACTTTTTAAGCGAAAATAGGTTGATGTGTACATGGATAAAGGGAGTGCGCAATGCCATTTTTTTGCAATTCTGGGATGTTTTTTTAAGTGAAAATAGGTCAATGTGTATATGGATATCGAGTACGTGCAATTCTTAAAAACGCACCAAGCAGTGTGCGATTCTGCAATTTCCTTAAATCAAGTTACATTACATTTCTGCAGGTCACAGCAAAAACAGATTCCTGTATACACAGAGAAAGCAATGGCATGTGTAGTGCCAAGTTGTTCACAATGGAATTTTTATGATTTTTTTTAAAGCTAAAACAGATCATTGCGTACATAGGAAACGCAAAGTCACCCCCAAAGGTTATTATGGATATTTCTTGTACTTTTAATTTTGTTAACCGATTGTTGTTTTATGCAATTCTTTAGAGTGCCACCACTTTTCAAAATGGTTGTTGTCTTTCACATTTTAGTTAAGCGAAAAATTATTCACCAATGGCTGACAACTTTTTTTTAGGTTTTACATTATTAGCGGATAATCAGAAAGTACCGTTTATGGTTTTAATTGTTGTTAACATTAAAAATCTAGTCTTGCACAGATATATGATTGCAAAGAAATTAAAGTTGCCAAAATTCATAAGAAAGACACGAGTAAGATTCTTGCAGTAAATGCCAGAATTCACTGAAGCCTTTCAAATAAAAATCCCACTACAAAAAGTCTTTTGCATTGAGACCAACAAGCTTATCTTTAATCAAGCAAATATTTTTAATACAATTTTTATTACAAAGAAAAGGATTAGGGGAAAGTGCAGAATCACCTACTGCTTGGCACGTTTTTAACAATTGCATCAACTTGGTATCCATGTACACATCGACATATTTTCACTTAAAAAATATCATCCCAGAATTGCACAAAAATGGCATTGCATACTCCCTTCACTTTATCCATGTTCACATCGACCTATATTCACTTAAAAAGTCAAAGAACACTGACAAAAATCCAATTCTTCTTACTCTTGTAAAAAGTGCCAAACAAATAAGTAGGCGATTCTGCACTTTACTCAAGGATTATATAACCATTGCTATATATTTTTACATTACTGTCTGATTTTAGACCAATGCACAATTCTTTGATAGCCAAACAGTTTTTATATGGTTTATTCCATATGCAAGATAAAAAATATGTAAATCAAAATTATAATTTAAACTAATGGTCATTTCTAGACATTCCATTTTACATGGCCTGCACAGCCCTGATGATGTAATAATTGTAAAGTGAAACTTTTTAACTTTTCTCTTTGTGTGCTTCCATCTTGCATAACTATGCACTTCAGTTTCGCTCTGATAGGATGTAATTTCACTATTTATTGATATTGCAATAATATCAAAAATGTAAATATTCTGTAAAAAGGAACGACTAGAGTGCCGAGTGATTGTGGCCACAAACGTCAATTGGAAAATAAAAATGGAATTAAAATCGCCTCAATTGCCAAGTTTCTTAGACATTAGCAAGTCAAAATGTTAGCATATTATGCAATCAGAATTCATCAATATGGATCTAATTATGCATCAACACTGCTCCCATTTTTCTGCTGCTATTATTTCAACTATCGGAACTACTCTGACATGCGCCCTCAAGTCGCCAAATATTTTTGGCGAGAAACTTCATGCTGCCATATTACTATCTAAATTTTTTGTCTACATTTTGAACTTTAAACCTAAAATGTCTCCAAAAATGCGGTTTTCGCACATGCAAAAACTACGTTATGAACACACAATTTAGCTAAAAATCCAAAACAAAAACAAAAAATTTTAGGTAGCAAAAACGTAAAGTTTCTAACCAAAAATATTTGACAAGAATCCATGTACACAGCGACATGTTTTAATTTAAAAAAAAATCTACGAATTGCACAATGTAGGCAATGAATGAATCTACACACTATGCACACCTCGCTTTAATAAATTAACATAACAACAATAAATTTCAAAGAATACCATGTACACAGCATCTTGTTTAAACTTAAAAAAAATTCTACGAATTGCATAATTTAGGCAAGGAAGGAATCTACGATCTACGCACTCCTCGCTTTAATAAAATACATAACAACAATAAATTTCAAATAATACCATACACAGCGTTCTGTTTCAACTTTAAAAAACATCTACAAATTGTACAGTCTAGACACTAAACAGCAAAATAAACTAAAATTAATTTCAAACAATTTAAAAAAAAAAAAAAATAATGACAGAAATTCATACTAACGAACCAATGAACATAACATTCTACAAAATAAGAACAAGGATAAAATAAAATGCACGTACCATGAATTAATGCGTTTTCGAATAGCTGATACCGCCATTAACATGCCGCCACATAATTACTATTGTATTTACATGACAGCCAGACACACTATTCAGAAAATTTATACTATGGTTCACAAATAAATAAAATCACAAATCCCTACTTCTATCATGCACTGCCATTAAAAATAATCTCCCAGACCCTCTTTCCACACTTCCAAATACCACTACCCCTCAACAGGATAGCCACAATCATATTTCCTTTTGCCGAACTTCAATTCAACAACTACCATTTTATCTTTCCCTCCGGGGATTCTCAGACACAGAGGCGAATCAACGAGCTCCAGCGAAAGATTTTTCAACGTCAACAGGGTTGCCATAGAACACGCAATCACACCAAAAACCAGCGCAGAACACATATCGCCACATTTGGTGAAATTGGGCGTATATTAGAGTTGTACCCAACTATCTATATATCTTTTTAGGATATATCATCTGAGAAATTCCAAAACATTTCACAGATTCCAGGTTACGAATGCGACTTAATGAAGAAAACCTCTTCACAGAAATTGTTTGTATTCACACTAGACATCGAGAAAATCATGAAAACAATTTGGGAATTGCCCATGACTAAAAGTCTGCAATAGAATTTGGGGTAAAGTGCAGAATCACCCACTGCTTGACACTTTTTAAGAATTGCACATACTCGGTATCCATGTACACATTGACCTACTTTCACTTTAAAAAAAAAAAAAAAAATCCCAGAATTGCACAAAAATGGAACTGCACACACCCTTGACTTTATCTATGTACACATCGACCTATTTTCACTTAAAAAGTAAAAGAAAATTGACAAAAATCCAATTGTTTTTACCCTTGTAAAAAGTGGCAAACAAATAAGTGGGCAATTCTGCCCTTTACCGAGAATTTTTTCAAAGAAAAGGCATCATTCATTATAGAAAATTATGTTTGAACAACCAACGAGATGAAATTATGCTTTAGCAATAACTCGGTAGCAAAACAGCGATGCAGGCTTCCATTCAGTTATGTTTAGCAATTTTTATATCAATTATAATAATGATCTGAAATAGTTATTTACTCTTATGCTTCCATTCAGTCACGTTCAGCCTTTTTTATATAAATTATAATAATAAAAAGTATTATATGAAATTAACTTTTCATCTAAATTAAAACATCTTAAATAGTTACTTATTATTATATACTATATTATACTTCCTTTCTTGCGTTAGGGTTGCCGCAATTATTTTTGGCGGCACTGGTATCAACAATAGTTGGGCGATTTTTTACGGCCTTCAAAACCGAATAGCACCCTCAAATCTAATTCTAACTGTACAGTAGTCTTAACCCTTGGCCACTGGTGAACTTAGTCCAAATCTAAATATATAATTGATAAATAGGCTATAATATACCTAAACATTGAAAGATATCAATCTAAATACTAAAAGCTACTCATCGAATACGTGATTTTTTTTTTTTTACTTTAAAAACAAGTCACTATGTAATTTTTGCATGATATTTAACTTGGGATAATTAATTACCTCTCACGTATTACAATGTTTCGTAAAGAGGCACGTGTTCTCATTGATTAAATGACCGTATTTCCTCTCATACATGACTGCTAAATATTCGACCTAACGTGCTACTCTGCGGTATAAAAACAGGCACATTTTTGGTTATTTTTATTTACCTATTATAATTATTCTACTTTTAAAGTGGAATGTAGAAATGAATTCGATGATCACAAACGCATTTTAAGCATTATTTAACACAAATAATTTTAAATATAATAAAGATTATAAGTATAAATACTATTTGATAATAATTCATACTTATATTGCAGGTTTTTCCCTGGAGAAGACGGGAAATAACAGAAGTACTTGTTACAAAGCCTCTTAAAGAATTCATTTCAAAATATAATAACAAATTCTTATCTCAATACCGGTAAATACGATCCCTAACGCAATGTGCAGAAAAGAATGGCTTCAAATAGGGTTTAGGTGTTTTTTGGCTATCTGACAAAGATATTAAAGGAGGTGGGGCCTGTTTGTAAACTGAAGTAAATTCATAAATTTTATTGACTTTAGTTGCTAGAAATTTAAGACTTGAGTTGTTTCTTGAGATATTAGACGTATTGTATACATTCTTGAGATATTAGACGTACTTGAGATATTGAGATATTAGACGCACTGTACGTATTTTTACACTTACTGCATCGTAGAAGCACGTGATAAAATCTTTTAAAGAAGAAAATCGGATCCAAAATAAACTAAGAAGAGGTTGTCCATCAAAGAGGACTCAAGGTGACCAGAGATTTATAGGAAAAATCAACGCTTCTGTGTTGTAAAGATTCCTACATAATTTACTGAAAAATTTCTCCTATTTCTCTTGAAACTGTCCAGTGAGTACTCAGATCAGTTGGATTACGTGGGCGCTTTCCTCGAAGAATTTCGGACGTGCAAAAAATCTCAAAATCAATGGTAAATTAGCTCGAAGCGTAATGGAATCATGCAGCTGAAAGCAAAGTTAATATTTTTAGTTCCGGTGGACGTATAATTGTATGGAGGGAAAAAACAGAACAGCAACTTAATTCCAAGACCTTGGTTGGATAGTAAAGCATGGAGGTTGAAGTGTTCTTGTTTGAGGCGAATGTCAACATCAGGTGACATTCATGATGTCATCATGATTAAGTAATTAAGTATTCATTGATGGCACAATGAATCATGCTTTTTATTTAAATATTTTAATAGATAATTTGAAATTATCCATCCAAAATTTGGGTATTGGAAAGAACTTTATTTTTTATAAGGATAACGATCCTAAGCACACGGCGCTTAACGTTCGCCTTTTGGGTGTTTATAATTGTCCATAAGTTCAGAAAACACCACCTCAGTCAACAGATTTAAAGCGGACAGAGCACATCTGGAGAGAATTAGAGTACGACGACACATCATTAAAATAAAAAATAATAAAATAAAATTAAAAAAATAAAAACATTAATGATGGAAGATTGGGAGGAACGTTGATCAGATATTACAAAAACAATTTGTGAACTTTGTGCCCAGATGTATGAAAGCTGTTATAAATACTGCAAAAGGAATACTAGAATAGGCCTGCAAAAAAATATACTACAGAATACTAACTGACAGAAATTCTAAAATATTTACTAATATGTGCAGATTCCTTAAAAGCAAGCGAAGACTTTTGTGAGGTAACTTTTCTGTTATTTTTTTTTATTATTCATTTTTCAAAAAAAAGTTTTAAAAAGTTCATAATATAATTTATATAGTTTAGCTAAATGAAGTTTATAGATATTATTAAAGATTTTCATTGTAAAATATTAATATTTATTAATGAATAAAGCAATATTTCACTTAACGTCGTAAGTGTAAGAAACCTTTTGGAGACCCACTGTATGTAAACTCATGTCGAGAAATGTGGTAACGAACACAAAAGATCTCAGTGGGAAGCTAAATGGATAGAATCGTGCTGTAACTACGTAAGGATCCTAAGTTTTACTAACGTTTATTTTATTTTAAAACTGTACTATCACTTCTTATTTTCTACTTCCGGCCAGAATTAAATGCTTTAACTTGGTTATGCAAATTGTCTTGCTAACACCCAAGTATTTAAGTTGTGTTTTTTTGCCAAGAGGGAGAGAGAAGGAGATTTAGGAAGCAAGCTGCATGCCACTGCAGTTCTACGAGTTTTTACTCCGTTACTGGTTGCCTTTAAGGCCAGAGGTTTAGCCCTCTTGATATTTGAAAACGTATTGTAGTTTCAGTAGCTCGGCGTACTACATAAGTACCCTTTGAAATAAAGGCCAGGCTTATTGCTAGGCATTTGAATATTAATTCAAAGTTACCTTTTAGTTAGTAGTTTTATATTCTTACGTTCAGACCACAAGTGGTTAGTCTCTGTATCCCGAAGTTCGGGAGTACTTGTAAAAGTATAGAAAATAAAGGGTTTCGTATACCCTTCCTGCTTGTGTCGTCTGTTACACACAAATCTTGAACATAGCTTGAGTAAGCTCCCTGTTCCTAATCAGGACACATCATGTTTCCAAAGCAAATGAAAAGAAACACAAGTCCTGACAACTGTAATTTGGGAAATGCCACAAATTTTAAATTATGCCTTAAAAATCTCTTAAATATGAATTAAAAATCTGATGTGTACACCACATGACTTCCTTGTAAGGAATATTAAATTATACGCATTTTTTCTTGCATTTTATTTAAACTTATTAGACTAAATTAAACCTACTTCGCCAACAGTGCATAAACCACAATAGAATAAATGCATTCTTTAAAATTCACTTTCTTTACCATAGTGACACTCTGGCGCTAGGTTTACTTAACAGTATTATATTTCATTCATATTATAACTCCAAATGCACAAAATGTATATCATTTAAAGAATTATCTAATCGTTGCCACATGTTCTATTCAAATACTATAATAAAGCTAGAACTATGTATAAAAGAAATTAAGCAAACAAAACAAAAAACGAAACAGTTTTTCACAGACAATTGAGTATTTCTCATTTAATTAATTCAGTTCTCACTTCGCGAGAAGGCAGAAATACATAAAAACTCAAAATATCTATATTAAAAATTACGAAAGTAAATTTCAAACGCTTATTTCCTCGAAAAAATTCCAGAAAAGATTAAGCATGATTTAATTGTCAATAATAAATGAATGCGTTATCTTTGTTGTTGCGAAGCTAAGTTTCTCTAGATTGGCAAGCAAATCCACTAGTCTCCTGTTTCAAATGTAAACATCAATGGCCGCCATTAAAAAAGGCTTAGCGGCAATTAAACAACTTTAAAATTGCTGATAATTCTAAAAATATTGCACACACATTTACTAAAGGCATAAAATCCTTGACCGGAAGATAAAAACAACATAATTCAATAATTTTTAAAGCAAAAAATGTACAATTTACAAACATATAAGAGTAAAGAAACTGAGATCACTCAGCCGGGTAATAGATTGGATATATATATAAATATATTTATATACGTTTGGTGCAGCCGATTGCAACCAAAATACGAGGTGCACATCTACATGTTACAGCAGTCCTATATACAAAATTTCAACGTTCTGAGGCTACTCGTTTTTGAGTTATGCGAGATACGTACGTACTCACGAACGTACTTACGTTCGTACAGACGCCACGAAAAATTCTCTTCAGAATTAATTTTAAAGCAGTTTTATAATTTTTTTGAAAGAAAAGAGTATTTTATTCTGTCCTTACGTACAGATATGACGCAAAAACATCGTTAAATTGCATTCGATAGCGGTCAAAATGGATATTTTCGTTGAAATATGCTGCCTGAAACTTTTCGCGATTAAAATACTTCCTTTTTACTTCATACAAGGAAGTAAAAAACTCAAGAAACACGTGGCTAATTTGTAGGAAAAGATTGCTTTAGATAAATTTTCAAAAACCGCTACTAAAGATGAGCCTTCAAAAACTCATCATGAAAAAGTTCCTGACTCGAGAAAACGCCCTGCAAATAGCATCCCTAAATTTCCTTAAAAATTAAAACGAGTGAAATAACATGCTTCTAAATTACTCCATCTTTGATATAATACATACCATAGCCGGAAGAATGTCAGAAATCCGGAAAGCTCCCACGCCAAATGACATAAATCCTTCTTAGTATTCTTCAAAGTTTTTAACTGCACTATTTTCTACATTTAGAGAAATTTTTCATCAAAATTTAATTAGAAACACAAGCTAGTTTTATACGTTTCGTCCTTTTCTATTTTTCTCAACCTTTCGATGGCAAGCTATTTTATATATTTAGTGCGCACTGTTATTTTAAACTGCGTGTTTTAAAATTTTGTTTTGTAGTATAAATGACATAGCTAGAATTTTCCGTACTTGCTGTATGAATATTGTTATGCCTGTTAACTTTTTTTTTTTGTAGTAACTAGCTTGTCTTTTTCACCTTTTGGAGAACTTTCAAAAATCTGCATGGCCTTATGCTTACATCTTAACATCTTTTTATATGTTAATGCAAAGTTATTTCTGATATTCTTGCAAAGACTATTTCTGTAAGGGGCGGACCTCGAGTTCCAAGTACCCCGGTGTTTCATTGTTAAATGAGCATAATATATCCGGGCTGAGGAAGCACTTCATGAATAATCCAATCGCTTTTTAAGCATATTGTATGTGTTTACTTTAAAAAATCTGTAAATTTACATTAAAAAAATCAAGTATTCGTCGAATTTCACTGCCTAATTTTCGAATTCAGCATAGCTGAATCAAAGTCTTCATGTGCTGAGAGTTTCATATACTTTTAGTTAGAATAGGGATTATTACCAAGGGTGGAACTGCTGCCGCCTATGGAGAAAATATGGTCTGCTAAGTATTTAGTTTCTGTCACAGTAAAAAATAACCTAAATTTAAATAAATATTATTTATTTTTTCAAGTTTTGAAAAGGAGGGGCAGGAATATTTGTCTACCAATTGTAAAAGGGGTGTTTGAGGCAAAAAAGGTTGAAAAGTACATTGTAATGAATGGCTGGAACTTCTTTTGTTAGTTTAAAATTACGTGCCAGGTCCGTATTCTTTAGCGAGTTTCAATATCCATTCGCCATGTTCAAATCTTTCAGTTTGCGGTTTTTGTTAGAACAACTTTCTTGCTCTTAGTACTTCTATCGTATTCTTTATTTATTTTTTAGTTCCAAAATTTTTAAAAGAATAAGAACACACCAGGACTTAATTTCTAAGATGAGAAGTGGAGCCCTATGGAGGACTGTCAGCAAGGAGGAACAAGAGTAAATAAATAAATAAAATGACTGTTAAACTCATTAATAATTCAAAAATTAAATACTTAATTATCATCAAATTAATTAATAACTATTAATTAATGTTTAAATTGTTATTTAATCAATAATTATATATACTTAATTATAATTTAATTGATAATTATAGATAATTAATTATTTATGGAAATAATTAAAGATTGAAGTAATTA